CGTCTGCACTCCACACAGAAATGAGTTTCTACGTTGTACTCGTGGACTACCGAAAACATTCTACAAGTGATTTTGATTAGAAACAGAGCTAGATCAATCTTAATCCCCACAAGTCAATACCGAATTAAAGCGAGAAAAGTAATGCAGAAAGAAAGGTAAGTTTTAGATTACAAATACCACGACCAATCTGATGTGTGCGCTCTTTTTACGACAGGTTTACGCTGTGAGGAGCGCGGGTGTGCGCAGGCACTCACTCCGAGCCACAGTCGCTCCGAGCACCGCCCAGTGCCACTCCAGTGGCACCTGTCAAACAGGAGGCTCTGCTGACACCATCACGAGGTGTCCAGGTGAGCCCAGGAGCTGCTGGCCTCCCACAGGCTCCCTCTGGGAGGTCCCCCGGCAGCCTCCTCCCCAAGCTCTGCAGGCCCCACTTCATTTCTTCACCACCTATCGTGCATGGGTGGAGTCCAGGAAGGGGCGGGGCCAGGAAAGGGGGTGGGGCCCAGGGAAGGAGGCGGGGCATGGGGAAGGAGGTGGGCTTCCCCTCCAGCAGGGACTCAGGCTCAGCGGAGAGCCTGGACCAACAAATGAGGGCCACTGAGAAGCCCAGGTCCTCACTCCCAGGCCGAGCACTGTATGTGCTTGACTTTGTCCTGGTGCCTCCCTGAGTGGCCCACCTGAGTGCCCCAAGATGTGACCCCTCCCAGGGACCTTTCCTTCCCAGAAGCTGGATGGCCTAAGACCAGGTCCCAGCCATAACCCAGTTCCTAGGAAAAACTGCACCCCACAGTCTCAGAGCCCACCAATCCCGGATAGGCCCATGGCCCGTAAGTGGCAACTGCCTCTCGGCACAAAGCATTCCCCACGCCAGGGGGAGGCCCTGGTCCCGGGACTTGGCCTTCTTCTGACAAGGCAGCGGTGGGCAATGCTGCCTGGAGGCCACCGGCTCTGGCGGAAGCTCTGGGTTCTGTTCCCCGGGCTACTGCTCAGCCACTGGGCACTGGGGTCGGTCACCTGAACTCTCTCAGCCTTGGTGTCCTTGACTAAAAGGTGGTCACCTTGCCTGCAGGGCATGGCACAGTCCAGATGGTGCGCAGGATGGAGGGCACCCTGGGGTTCCGCTGCTGAAATTACCGTCTTCCCCGCCATCAGTGCCCGCAGCCAACCCCTGGTCCCACGGAGTCACCCTCTCGGGCTGGGCGGACAGAGGCCAGAGCCTGGCGTGGCTGAACCTGAGGCCTGCCTGGGCTGGGCCACAGTGAGCAGCTCAGGACACTTTCCTGGACCGTGAAAGATAAAACCACCCGAGACACGACTGGGAAATACTCAATAGTCGAGCACCGGATACCAGTCGACAGCTTCTCTTCCGCTTCTTCTCCCAGATCGGTGAAGCGCAACCCCAGCTTTTTAAATTATGTTTTTTTAATTGGGTGTCGGGCTTGACATATCAAAAGCTTTTCATTTGATATCATGTGAGAAGACTCTATAGACGTAAACTGCGGGTGGTCCATCCCGCCCCCCCACATGTAGGGGAAGGCTGGGTCTTATCCATTTCCTCTTTCCTTTTTGATTATTTTTATGGTAAAACACCCACAGCAAAATGGAAAAATTGTGTAGGCAAACGCTGGTTTTATAAAACACTGACGTTTGCCCACATTGCTGCGACTGCTAAGGAGTAACACACAGGCAGGGAGGACGGCTGCACCCGCTAACTCAGAGACGGGGGCAGGAGCCTCGAGCCCTGTGCCGCCTTCTCAGGGCTGTGGGGTTACAGTCCTGCTTTCCGAGTGTGACCGTGCGAAACACCTTCTTAAAGAGAAACGGTGCCTGAGTGCCGGCCAGGGTTACCATTCCCGCTTCCGCACCCGTCGACAGGATCGGAAAGCTATTCCCCTTTAACCTGCCCATGTGCTTAGTTACTTATCAGACACCCGCGGTGAGCCTGCCTTTTTGCTTTCTAAGGAAAAACTTAACTTTGTGTTTCTAAGTTAACACACACGTACACTCACTGATTTACGGAGAACGCTGGTGTCTGCGTTCACGGCTAAGACTGGCCTGTGACGTCTCTGTCGCAGGCTCTCTTGTCCGCCTGAGCAAAGCCCGGTTAACGACGTAGGTGTCCTGCCTTACACCGTGAGCTGTTGTATTTCCCAGGTACCAATTCATCCAGGGGAGACCCCTGCTGGCAGGATGTGCCACGTGACCTGAGAGCCCACGCAGAAACAAGCTGCGCCGGAGGTGCTGGGCGCGAGACAGCCGCCACTGCTCACCTGGGCCCATCACCTCCCGTTTCCAGTTCTTCGCAGAGAGGGCGGAGGCACCATCAGAAATGTCCAGTGGTTAATCTCTTTAAAAACTGAACAAAATGCAACTTCTAAGGCATCCTTTCTGACAACTTCCAGACTATGACGGGCCCAACGTTTCTACCGGTGCGTCCATTTACCGAGGCAGCAGGCCTGGCCAGGACACCCCTAGCGCAGCCCACGGGCCAGCGGGGCTGATGCAGGCAGGCCCTGGGGAAGGGTCCACAGGGCTGCATCCCACTGAGCCGGAAGGGGCCACCTGCGCACCTGGAAGGTCATGGGGACCGGGGCTGAGGGGCACTCGGAGGCCAGCTCCACGGCAACATCCCTGCGGGCTTGGAGGCGGGGTGGCAGCGGGAGCAGGGTAGACGCGGCCACACAGACGGCAGCCCGGGCGCGA